GCCAAGTGCTTGACGTTTGCCTTTTTGTGTGTGCTGCAAACGCACCGAGAAAGTTGTGAGACTTCTTGTAATGCATAACAACTGCAAGCTGCCTTTGACAAGCAGTTGTTGCTGTTGTTGTTGCTGTTGCTATTGTTGTTGGTGTTGCAGTTGCAGTTGCTGTTGCTGTTGCTGATATTATGCCAACAGTTTTAGTCGGTTGTCATGTGCAGCGATTACCGTTAGCTGTAATCGTTGTTGTTGCCGCTGCCGCTGCTGCTGCTGCTGCTGCTGTTGTTGCCACTTGACACTAAACGAAAATGAAACCAAAATTGTTTGGCCGGCTCGTCAACAACACGAACAACTCGCGCTACAGTTTCTCAGGCACTCCTGCGAAACTAGTTAAAGTGCGTTGACCGGCAGTGGACGACCAGCAAATACTCTCCACCCGAAATAAGCCTATTTAGATATAAATTTTAGAGCCATTAGACCTTTGGTGTTTAGAGTTCTGCAAATCTGTGATAAGCATTTGAAGGCTTATGCTTTCAAGTGATTCAACTTTTGTCAATATCGATATTCGACATCGATTCTTATATTATATATATAGATTATCTATATCGATTATTGGGTTATCAATATCAATTACTCGACATATGAATAGACTATTATATTACCGATATAGATTATTAGAATCTATATCGATTATTATATTATCAATATGGACTATTAGTATATTATCGATATCGATTAATTTCCGACTACATATTATTTATGAGTATATTTGCATAAATTTTAAAGTTTTTGGTTACCGGATCTAAGAAACTTTCTTTAAATCGATACTTATCGATTTTCTAGGCTTAGTGAAATAAGACCTATAAATTAAATAGACATTTCAACTAGGCTTTTCTTGCTGGCTATGCCTTTTTTGGCTACTACCTTTAGTTCACATAAAGCTTGTATGCCCGTTTCCACTTTAAATGGACTACAGGGTATTCAAAAAGTTGTGCAGCTTTAATTTAGTACAATGGCCGACTGGTTTGCTCGCTCCCACTCGCTTTGTCTTACTCCAAAACTGTGCGTCTCCACCTCTCTGTCTCTCTCTCTCGCTATTTGTGTCTCACTCTCACTCTGTCGCCCTCTCCCTTTCTATCTGCCTAGCTTTTTTCAGTTATTTATAGTTGTTGCTCGTTGGTTGTGCGTATTTTTAATAAGTTGATTTTGCCGTCTCTTCGGTTTTATTTTGCATAAATTATGCAAGCGCCTGTCATTTGTCTGCTCTAGCACAACAAGGACAACAGCATTTTAAAGTTTCAGCACCACTGAGAAGCTGTTGACGTGTGTGTGTGTGTGTCAGTGCATGCACGCATGTGTATATGTGTGCGCGCATGTGTGGCTGGGTCGGTGGGTGGGGTGTTGTTTTATTAATGAGCTGAGCCAAATTAACTTTAATATATGTGTGTTTAAATGTTGAACAAGTGTATACTACTTTATGCCCACTCTTCACTCTTAATACCCTGCACTCATTAAACATGTTCAGCATGCGAGGGGTATATTGCATATGTGGCTAACATGACATATCCTCCAAGCTACACATATGCATATTTCTGGATCAGCCTAGCCAAATGATTTCCTCTCTTTCTTTGATCATTCCTCTGTCTCTTCGAAATTTGTTTTGAAATTTCAATTGTGGCATTTAATTGCTTTTTCTTGTATATCGATACTTATCGAATATCGAAAAGTTTTTATTATACTTCTGATCAATACATTTTAAGTGATGTTTACTATAAATTTAGAAAATCACTATATATTCAATGAATATACATATATACATATATCTATGTATACCTCTCAAATTGAGATCTATGTACTCAAATATTTTCAAAATTTAATACACACTTTGCTTGGCGCAGATGCAGCATCACAGCAACTACATAGCTGACAACAGGGTCTCTTCGAGTCGAGCAGTCTAGTGTATCGCACTATTACTTGGTACTGTTTTTCATTGGTCTGGCATTTATCATTTATAATTGTTTGGCTGTGTGTCAACCATTTGGCCATTGCGGTCTCCTGCCCACTAGGCGCGTGGTGGAGCTGACGATGAAGTGGGAGGCATGTCGGATGGCGGATGGCAGAAGGCGGAAGGCGGAAGGGCTGTGACCATATTCTTTGTGCATTTCACATTTTGACACTTTGACATGCATTAAATCAGTCAAGCGTTGGCCACTTTGAGCTCCATGACTTTACAGTATAGCTGTCTGTCTCGCTTCCGCCAACGCTCTGTAACTATGTAGCAGCCCTCTCTATCCCATTCTCTGTCTCTCTCTCTCTCTTTCTACCTCTCTCTTTTACTCACTCTCTGTCGCTCTTTTCATCTTGCTCTCTCGCGCTGTCGGTGCTGCAACAGAGTTTTAAGGTGACCACAGTTTGCATATTTAATTGCTGCAGTTTTGGGCTGACCATCATTTCATATTAATGAGCCAAACCAATGACAACTTTTGGCCCAAATGAGCATGTAAATGCGTCAAAATCATGTCATTAATATCATTTCGAATGCAACATCCAGGCCAGCACATATACAAACTAAGCCAGGACTTAGCTCGCCCACACGAACTGCAACTACATTTCGTATTCAACCTGATGATAAATTAATCAAAGGAACAAAAGCTTGAATATGCTAATGTGGGCTAACCCTTTGTTGTTTTGCGAGCAACTGTCAATCGCAACCGATTTGTAATCTTCTTGTCAAATGGAAAGCCCAACATTCAAATCATAAAGCACAGCCAATTAAAACTCACCCTGATTGCACATCGAGGAGGCGTTGCTAACTCGACGACAAGCTCCAGTCACAATTACATTCAGCTTTAACATGTGATGGACAAGCACTTATCAAAATGCGGGCACTCATAGGCAGATATAAAAATGGTTGCATGATGACAACTATTTTCTGTCTCTCTTTCATTCCCTTTCTCAGTCTCGCTTGAGCATCAGGTGTAAATGGTGTATCGCTATCCCTAGTATCAGATATATGTATGTATAATATGTGGACTATTTTACTCCTGCTCTCTATCAGACGCTACTTCAATCAATCCTTCAATTCTAGTGTAGGCATCTTTATTATAATACATGTGCAATCCCTTTGACTTCTGCTCTCAACTTGGACTGCTCTTCAAGATTGGTGCATACATACATTGCATATCCCATGTGATACATATAGTATATCACGTTATCGTTATATATTTCTTTCTCTTTCTCTCTCTCTCTCTTTCTCTCTCTCTCTCTCTCTCTCTTTCTCTCTCTCTCTTTCTCTATCTCTGTTTGCGCATTATCGAACAGTGCTCAATATTTTATAGCCAACTTACTTCGCTCTCTCTTTTCTTCTTTGTGTCAATCTCCTTTTTCATTTCGCCGTTACTTATGCACATTCACTCTAATCTTTCATCTATTTCTCGAGCTAAATCAGTTCGCTCTTTCTTTTATACCCATTTCACACAATTTTTTGCCTCTCTCCTTGCATCTCATCCTACACTTTATCTTCTCTCCCTAGATTTGTCTACCTATCAAAATAAATTACTTCACTCCTCTATCTATTTCGCTCTCTCGCCATCTCTATCTCTTTTTTCTTCCCTCTCTCAGTCTTCCTCCCCCTACATATCTCATTGTCTTTTCCCACCTTACTTCTCTCCCTCAATATTAAGAGACCTTCTAGCTCTCTGCCTTTTAATTCCTCTCTCCCTCTTTCTCTTTCTCTCTCCCTCTCTTAATCATTAACCTTTGCCTTGCCTCTCCCTAGCTCCTCTCTCTCGCTCTTCTTCCTTTATTGGTGGTTGGTTTATTTCCACACACTTCTGCCTCCCCTTTCTATCGTTCTCCAATATAAACACCTGTGCTACCCACTTCTCTCTTTCCCTTCTTGTTCTCTTTTTTTCTCTCTCTATCCATCTTTCTCTCGTCCTATCCCTATCCTTGCGAGATCGTAAAACCGAAGGGCAAGGTTTTGACCAGGCGAACCGTTAAAATTTATAACATTTCGCGTAGTCGATGCTTTGTAAATTTATGTGCATGTAGTTTCGCAATTTGTATATATGTTAATTGCGACAAGGGAATAACGGTGCCAAAATATGTACACGAAATTTATGGATAAAACATGGCAATTGCTTTACTCGCTTTATTTATTTATATATATGTATATATATATATTTTTTTTTTTTTCTTTTTTCTGGATCTTCTTTTTTTCTCGCTTAACATTTTCGACTTGTAGCAATTTATCATAATTTTGCTTGTTGTTGTTGTTTTGTTGTTGTTTTTGTTTGGCCTTTGGCATAAATCAGGCGAAAATGCAAACTCCAAGACGCAAGCAAAGGCGAAAGGCCAAAGGGAAAGGGGAAGGAGGATGAAGGGTGGTGGATGAGGGGATGGATTGTGTAGCCTGCCTATAGTAGCTGTAACTGTTGTTGTTGCTGCTGCGGCTGCGGCTGCGACTGCGGCTGCTTCTGTTGTCGTTGCCTTTGCCTTTGGCTTTATTTCTGTAGCTACCACAAGACGACATTAAATGGGGCTAAGCAAAATAGAAAGAGGCAAAAAGGCCAAATGCTGCAACATTGCGTTTGGCGTTCGTGTCACTGCCTTAATGCTAATTACCGTTACCCTTCGGCAGATCCCAATTACAGCGCCCAAATTGAATCTGTTTGAATTAATATGCGCAGTCGCATTATATAAATGACACGAAATGAGAATGAAATGCGTGACGTTGTTGCCGTTACGAACTTCTCGATCACAGGTCCGTTAGCAGCTAACGGTACACGCTCTCGCTCTAAAGCCATTCGCTGCTAACGGTATTTCGCTGCTGCTGCTAGCACTTGTCGACTTTTCATTAAATTCGCCCTGCCTAACGGCGCTTGGACCACAATTTGAAATATGTGAACGCACAGTGGGATCAAATTCGAGCGCGAGGCGAGCGAAATGTATGCAATATCAGATATGTATATACAGTAATTTGGAGCATGTCAAATGTAGGCACTTACCCCAGAGCCTGTGGACAGTGTGCGTGCGGCGCTGCCAACTGTTGGCAAATTTATGCGCTGCTGCTGCTGCTGCTGCTGCCGCTGCCAGCGCTGCTGCCACTGCCGGCGCTGCTAGTGCTGTCCGTGGGGGACAGCGACAAAAGGACACGGCGCTAAGGACAACGTGTGCAAATGAGTGTTGTTTATGCGCGCCGTTCGCGGGGCCTGTCACTTGATTTATGGTGTGACCAAAACACTTTAAGATGCTGCGGCGCCACTTTCAGCTTATAGGTTTTATGGCCAACAACAGTTGTTGCTCTTACTCTTGCTCTTGCTTTTGCTTTTGTTGTTATTATTATTATTATAATTAGTGTTGATGTTGTCGGTGTGCGAACTATAGTCGCTGACTGTGGCGGCGACGCCGTCTGCACGTGGCGTCCAAATCTGTAGCCATGGCATCGGCCAGGCTTTGTTTTTGTTTATGGTTTGGCACAATTGCGTTTGTCCACCCACAGCTGGACACTTCAGATGACGACACCAGCGATGATAAACTATTTAATTGATTTATTTATGCTTCTGACACTGCACTCACACTCGACCACAGAAACAAAAAAAATTAATAATAATAATTACATATGCACGTGATAGAAGTCTTATATTTGATTTAGGCGAGTTGATTATTTATTTCTCAATTGCGTGCGCAGCATCCGATTGGCGTTGAGGTTTACAGCTAACTGTAGTTTAGCCGATTCAAAATCAAGCTGGCTCCATCGGAATTCGCAATACCACAAAATCCCAAAAATACCCGTTAGTATCAATAGTATTTGGTATTTTTTCTGTAATATCGATAGATAATGGTGGTATATTGCTGTTAAGTGTCTGCTATTGTATGGCGCACTCTGTTAATTTTCAATTATATTAAATTAAATTTACATATCATAAAAGTTATAGTATATTATGACTTATTTAATTGATTGTTTAATAGCCGTCGAATCAAAAACAGTACATTTCATAACTGTGAGCTAATATGAAATTTATAGAACAAAATTAGACTAGCCGTAGATTCAAGCAATTAAAATTATGCTGCAACATTTAAGCTTACATTTCGATTTGTGTGTGCCCGTACGATATGCCAAATAATATACTAGTATTTTCCTCTGGCAATTCGCACGATAATCAATTCGCAGGTCGATAACATGTTAACCACGATAAGCAATTACGATTGGCAATCGACACAAGTACAACTACGTGGCTGCCGCTGTTTGGAAAATAGACGTCAAATTCCACACAAGATAGCGAAAAAATCGAGTTAAACAAAGACGCCAGAATGCAAGAAACGATTGCTAAATTACTGCTAGCCTTATGTGGCCTATTACTGCTATCAAGAGGCAGCCAGGCCTTTATCGTCAGTGTTGATGCGCACAACGAGGAATGTTTCTTCGAGAATATCGAAGGTGGCACGAAATTCGGTAAGTAAAATCCTGCATTTAAACGACATTGCCCCACTAAGAGTTGATGATTGCAGGCGTTACGTTCGAGGTGATCGAAGGCGGCTTTCTGGATGTGGACATCAAAGTAACCGGACCCGATCAGCACATTATGCACGAAAGCGAAAAGGAATCGTCGGGTAAATACACGTTCGTTGCGCCCACTAAGGGCGTGTACACCGTATGCTTCAACAACGAGCGCAGCAGCATGACACCCAAGCTGGTCATGTTCTCCATTGAGATGGGCGACTCACCGCAGCGCTTGCCCGGCGCACCCGGCGAGGAGGAAGTGGGCCACACCAAACTAGAGGACATGATCCGTGAGCTCTCCGGCACGCTGACCAGCGTCAAGCACGAGCAGGAGTACATGCACGTAAGTACCATATATGCTTACCCAACTCACATGGAGCGTTCCTCCACTCACACTTGATGCGCTCGCTTGCAGGTGCGCGACAAAATACATCGGTCCGTCAATGAGAGCACCAACTCGCGTGTTGTCTTGTGGTCCACCTTTGAGGCCTTGGTCCTAGTCCTGATGACAGTCGGCCAGGTGTATTACCTGAAGCGCTTCTTCGAGGTCAAGCGCGTGGTGTAATACCAGCTACTCCTCCTCGTCCTCGTTTGTGCGTGCGTGCGTGTACAGAGCGAATGTGTTGCAGTCTCAGCCTAATTTTAATACAATTAATTAAATACTTTTTTTCGTAAAAAACAGTAAGCAACATGCTAACCATTCAATTTTTCAACTCATTTCTACTTTTCTGACTCTTCGAGACATTCAAAATGGAGAAGAGTATTATCTATACTCCACATTATTCCACATATTCCTGTCATTTCCTACGTAGACTGTTTAAGGACTTTGTAGTGTGCTTCAGGCAGGGCGCATGGATATGATGAAGTGCAGCTTAGCATAAATTTGAATATGATGTGAATAGCAGTAGCCTAGCATGAATGGATTTCGAACTTCTTCCATATCAGGCGCTTTTACTTTATAGTTCTATTTGTACATTTTTGATTAGAACCATTTATTTATATGTGAAATATATCATTCAAATATACAATCTAATGTTATCCACTTATAGCGTCAATTCCAATCGAGTTTCAGCTGAGCTTCAATTAAACATTACAAATCTTTCGCAGTCACAGCTAACAACAATGGCGATTTAAAATAGTTGCATATTAAAATATTACATAAAATCGTAGGTAAATTCTTATCTGAATAGTTGACGTGACTTGCACAAATATGACAAAGATAAGCATAGGAGACATAAGATAAATAAATAAATATGCATATGCATGCACTATATATATATATATATACAGTAAATATGCATAACAACAATGGAGTAAAAACATTTGCAAATGCTAGTCAGCCATGATTCCTCAGAGATCGCGAGCTGCTACGTCGTTAAGCAGCTTCTCTGCATAGTCCGATATGTGGAGCACGCCATGCTGCATGGATGCAATGTGCAGATTGTTGCCACTCATGTAGTCCTTGTTAATGTGCGCATTCAGCAATTCGGCTATGAGCGTGGAACAGGCGGCAGCCGGATCGCTGCTGCTGTCGAGCGATTTCTAGGCAAAGCCAATGAGCGTGAGTAAGAGAGAGCGCAGATTCAAACAACATACTTAAGTACTTACCGACCAGAACTCGTTGCCCGGCAGGGCGTTGCCATCCCAGGCATAGGTGACAATGGGCAGCATGGGCTCCTTGAGCTTGTCGGCCGGATTGCGTACGGAGATGCGCACCTGGATGCCGCCCTGTGGATGCGCGGGCTCCTCTATGCAAGCGCCATCGAACAGGCCGCCCCATTTGTCCAGATGGAACCAGGAGAAGTGCACAACGCCAATGTGGGTGAGCTTGGCGCTGAGCGCACGCAGACGCTGCTCAAAGGTGGCCAAAAAGATTTCCTCCTGCTGGTCCGACACCTTCCAAACGCCCAGGCCAATGCCCACAACATGGATGTACGCCGGTTTGCCGGCGGAAGCGGCACGTGCCTCCGCCTCCAGGAGCAGCGTATCGAAGCTGATGGCGAAGCGCTTACCCATAACCTGCTTGTCGAACTTGATGTCGTGTTTCAGCTGTATGAAGCGTTTACCGTCTGCCTGCACATCGTTGTAGCGAAAGTCTTTGGGTTCCTCGTAGAACTGGCGCCAGAGACGGCGATAATCCTGCACCCGGTTCTCAGCAGATCCCGAGTAGCCGTAACCTCTGTTGGCCGTATTCTGCTCGCGCGTTATTAAGATATCCTCGCACTCCATCACATTACTGCGCCCGAAGCGCGACCCGATCAGCCCCATGATGATGCCATTCGTCTCAATCCTTGACTTGTCCTGCTCCACACGACCGGCATTCGTGCGCGAGCCATCGTTGATGAACTCCGAGTGCGTGGAGGCATAGAGCAGGGCCGATAGCTTGATCTCGTCATAGCTCAGCACGTTCTTCAGCTCGAGCGGAGCACTCTCGTTCATGGTGCCAGTCTGCTCAAAGCCCCCATAGCCATGGGTGCCGTCCAGCAGCATAAAGTCATCCAACATGCCGACGAAGTAAACGCAGCGTTTCTCCAGCAGCCTCTGCACAAATTCCGGCAGCGTGAGATTCTTATAGACACTCAGCTCCTTCGGGTTGCCTGTCGATTGAAAGATCTATAGAAACTCTCGCTCTCTCTTTCTCTCTCTCTCGCTGTTAGAGACTAACCAAACTTCAGCTTGTGCTCCAGAAAGTTCATGTAGAGAAACAAGACCTGCTCGTGTATGATGGGATAGGCGGATGCTATTTGCTGTCGTATGTGTGGCCTTCGCTCCACTGGCTGCGACTTCACCCGACCGGCATCCGTGCCGAACTGCAAGCAAGGAATCGATGAGGTGATCTTTAGAATATTTCATATTCGGTTCGTGTTTACCGGAATGGGAAACCTATCGGAGATAGACATGAACGCTTCCAAGTCGACGGCATCGGGCTGATGGCTGGGCTTGGCCAGCTCCTTGCACAGGACCAGCTGTTGCTTGGCAAAGTCACTGAGCACCGGCAAACGTCCTGCCGCCGGGTTGGGCCAAAGCTCGGATACACTATAACCACTCATTCTTCTCAGTTGAATTTTTTGACTCAAGTCCTGAAAGAATTTCCGCATTTTCCACTAAATTTTAGGAAATTGCGAATTTATGAATTTCCGAATTTATGCACGAATCTCTTCGAAGTCTCTTCGAACAATGAGAGAAAATATAAACAAAGCAAATAAGTGAGCATCATTTTCTTATTATTTACAAGTGCTGCCGCCCTACGTCAGCCACTGGAAATTTCACCACACTGCCCAATTTATCGATATCGATATCGACTAGACTATTGCATACCCTTGACTGTAAAAAGGCTCGCAAAGTTATTAAATTAAATGCAAAATGAAAAGATAATTATTATTTCGATTTATTTAATTTACAAAATATGTTTGGATTGCCACATAAACCAAGATGAGTTCAGTGTCAGCGAATGGATCGTCGATCACACCTGTTGCTATGCAGCAGCCAGCAACGAGTCGATATACCCGCTTCGAGCTCGGCGTTTGCAGCGTACGTTTCCATTGTTTATAAAATGCCGAACGCAATCGAATTTGTTATTACTTTACTATTAGGTGTGATTGTGAAATTGCGTGCCTGACAACATGTCCACGTTCGGAGCCGAAGTCGATGCAATTTGGCCACCAGTGGAGTCTGCGCCACCGCCGCTGAGTCCATTCGGGCGACGGCTGCTGGAGCAGTGCAAATCCGTGGAACAGCCGGATCCGCAGGCAACTGTCGATGTGCGCGCCTTCATGCGGAAGTCTACCCAGTTTCCGCTGGAGGTGCGTAGTGCTCCACTTGGACCATTCTTAATTGAAGTGCAATTAACGAAAATTCATAAATTTCACAGTTCGGCGTGGAGACGTGCCGAGTGCAGAGTCAGCCAAGGGACCGGCACGAGTTGATTGGCAAGCAGATTGCCTCCGTCTATCCGCTGATACACGAGCGCACCTTGGCGCTGTACCTGGCCTACCTGGAGCACAAGGGGCAGTGGGGTAAGCGAGTGAGTGAATATCATCCGCTGCTCACATTGTTAATCTGAGATTCCAATTGATCCCTACCGAGCGCAGGCAACGCTGTGGAGCTGCGCGTCTATCGACAGCTGTCGCTGGTGGACTTTGTGCAGCGTCTACTGAGCAAGCGCTGCGCCAGCTTCTTTGCGCGCAACGACAAGTTCTTGCTGGTGACGGGCGAGCGGGGAGCCAGCGGCTTTGAGCCGATTGGGAGCCTGAAGGAGCAGGCGCCGCTTCAGTTGGAGCACGTGCTCAGCTATGACGATATCAAGCTGTCGGCCCTGCTCTCGGTCAGCTCCCATACGGAGTTCATCAACGAGGGCGAGCGCACCAATTGCGGCCGTGTGACCCACAATCGGAAAAGCCTCGAGACGGACGGCGTGATAGTGGGAATGATCGGTGCGCGACTCTCGCGTCGCAATCTGATGGAGTTCCAGGACATTGTGATAGCGCGCACGCAAAACACTCCGGAGAATGGCTACGGGCATGATGTTGATGCGCCCGCCAACAGCCGAGCGGAGGACTATCGCCGGATCTGGCGCGGCTTCTATGAGACGCGCGACTTCCTGCGCAACGATGTGGACATCGACGGCAAACGGTTTGGAGTGTCGGGCAACAAGCAGGATGTGTTCGATAATCTCGTGATGAAACGTCGCTATGCGATCAGCTTTGACATGTTGCTGCTGGAGGCGGAGGCACGCGCCGCCAGCGCTGGCAAACAGGCGTACATCCACGTCGTCGGCTTCGGCCTGGGCGTGTGGAAGGTGGCACCGCAACAGGAGCAAATCTTCCTGGAGACCTTCGAGCAGCGTTTGCGTGTGCTCAGCGCCAGGCTCACCCACATTGGCGTCGTACACTTTTCCTGGTTCAAGCTGGAACGCTGCGGCGGCATCCACAATGGCGCCATAATCGAGTCCTCGCACCATCCGGATGGCGGTGTTCGTGTGCATCTGTCGAAGCGCAATCCGGCCCAAAAGCTGACCATGCTGGAGCATGCCAACATGCTGCTCGTCGTATCCTATGCCTGGGATGGCAATGCCTTGCCCGGCAATGAGTTCTGGATGGTAAGTAGACAACCATAGCCATTGCTGCTCCAACGATCCTCGACGATCTTTTGTCTCTTTACTGCAGAAAATGCTGAAGTCAACGGGCGACTCATCCACGGCCTGCTCCACACTCATCGCTGAGCTGCACAATCCCCACATCAACGACGACTACTGCAATGGCCGTAATCTGCATATTGCCTCGCCCAAATACGGCGTGCTCCACATATCCGAGTATGCCAAGCGTGTGCTGGAGACCAAATCTGCTTAGATGTACCTCACACCCACTCAAAATATAACCCTATATTATGTATATAGATCACATTATAAATATAACTATATGGGCGTGCATATATGTACAAACTTAACACAGTTTATTGTATCGGAATTACTTTTTATCTAGACTATCATATACTCAAACCAGGCAGCCCCTCATTCTATGGGACTTATAGCTAAGCTGATGAATAGGTTTGTGTCTTTGCTGACTCTGGTGCACCGACAATACACAACTGTATAAAAGTGTTTTTATAAGTGACGCAGCTAAAGTTTAGCTGCTAAAGTATAAATACAAATTCGGGTGCGTGTCTTTGCTAACTTGTAGCTAGAAAGTCCTTCGATATTCATTGAATTTCCTTAAATAATGTATTTTCTTGTTTTGGCTTAATACATATATTTATTATGCACTTCTAAACGAAATGAGTAAATGCTCTAGCAGTGCTACATATTAATGTCATAGTGGGTGCGTGTCTTTGCTAGCTGTTGGTTAGAAAGTCCTTCGATATAGTTTTGCGATACTGTATTTCCTAAAATTACCTTTTTTTCGAGGCAACATTAACAAATAAAATTAACATGCTCCGGAAATAAATAGAGGAGTAGCTATAGTTAAGCTATTAACGTAGCTTAACTTTTGGCCAAAACGAAGCTAAGGCAGTTTTATGGCAAGTGTGCCCTGCTAAGATCCTAGTTGATATAGATAGCTTCGGTGACACCACACAAGCAATAAATGTATAAGAGTAATTGCTGTAGCTAATAAGGGGTGCGTGTCACAAAAAATATTGACACTTTATAAGACAAACATCCCCTTATAAAAATCGGGATACAGGACATTCAATTCATATGGGGTTTGCGTCAGAGCTGGTCTAAAAACAAGCCGGTGCGTGTCTATGCAACGCAATTCGACGTGGCCAAAACGAAGCTAAGGCAGTTTTATGGCAAGTGTGCCCTTCTAAGATCCTAGTTGCTATAGATAGCTTCGCTGACACCACACAAGCAATACATGTATAAGAGTAGTTGCTGTAGCTAATAGGGGGTGGTGCGTGTCTTTGATAGCTCAGAAAAATATCGACACTTTGTAAGACAAACATCCCCTTATAAAAATCTGGATACAGGACATTCAATTCATATGGGGTGTGTGTCAGAGCTGGTCTAAAAACAAGCCGGTGCGTGTCTATGCTACGCAATTCGCCGTGACCAAGCCGGAGCTAAACCAATTTTATGGAAAGTGTGCCCTGCTAAGATCGCAGTTGCTATAAATAGCTTCGTTCAATGCCGCCAGAAGCTGAACTGCACGAAAGGCGCCGTATCGCCCGACTCTGAATAAATCTGCATAAATGTCTGTGGTCTATTTTTATTAACACTGAGTAGATGAACTCATAGGATTGTGCAGCGGCGTCTCGTCGGGGTGGGCGTGTTGAATGCGGATGCGATGTCGCCCTTTTTCAGGACGCGATGTGACCTCACCGCTGAACTGATCCGCCGACTGCTAAACTAGCTAATTCTTCTCGCTGCCTGGACTCTTCTTCGGCATGAATATCTCCAAGATGCGAAGGAGCCTCGACCGTGGCGTCGGCTTTATGCAAGCCGATATATCCTCCTCCTCCTCCTCATCCACCTCATCCATCTCATCCACCTGCTCCTCCATCTCCTCCTCACCCTCTTGCTGCTGATTCTCCTCGTCCGGTTGTTGTAGAGTATTGTCCATTATCAATGTCAGGTCACTGCGCGGCGACAAAGAGTCGGGTATCGGTAAGATCAGATAAGGCAAGTTCTTTATGCGCGGCATCAACAAATCGCTGCTTGACTCCATAGCTGACTGCGAACGCTGCACGGTCGGACGCGACTTCGCCTGACTGGCGGAGGTGTCCTCCTGGCGCGCCTGTATCCGGGTTGTGCCCGCAGCACGTGAGACTATCGGCTGCATGCGCGGCGTGCTCACAGCCTGCACCTTGCTGGCGCCCGCGGCACGTGAGACTATCGGCTGCACTCGTGAGGTGCTCGGCAAATCTGCCTTTGCCCTGGCCAATCCAGTCTGACCGTACTGGCCGCACTGACCCGGCTGTGGTCGCAAGGACTCGGGCTTCACCCTCGATGTGGGCTGCGTCCTTAGCGCGGGCTGTCCGCGTGTCACGTTTTGCTGCACTTTGTATGATGTCGGCGATAATTTGGTGATGCTGCGGTGCACTCTCACCGTGGTGCGCTGTCCGCACAATGCTTCCAGCTGGGCCCTGGGCGAGCCAGCGCCTCCCCTCGGGGTGCCGGAGCAGGTCTTCGGGTTGCCCCTCGGAGTACCGGGGCAGGTCGTCTTCGGATTGCCCGTAGGACGCCCTTTCGGTGCAATTGGCTGTCGCTTCGAGACTCTGCCAATGGTGCCTGGAGCAGCGGACGGCTGAAGGTATTCGGTGATCTGTTCGCCCAGTGGCGCCTCGGGCCCAACGTCCATGACGAGCGTCCTGCTGCGCGACAGTTTGATGAATCTCGGCTCCTGTGGCTTAACCGGCGGGGCGGAGCGGGCACGACTACCGCTAAACAGGCTGGCCTGTCCGATGACAATGGGCATGTAGCCGCGAGCCACAAGTGGATCATAGTTGGGCGGCATCTGAACGAAGTTCGTCTCGTAGAACAGTTTGAACCACTGTGCGAAGGCGTAGTTGTCCTGGAAGCGCCCCTTCACCAGCAGCTCGATGTCAATGGGCGTGTTCACGTTGACGGCATTGAAGCTCTGCTGGAGCACGCGAAAGTTCTCAATGAACTCAGTCGGCTGATTGCAGACGAACTTCACCTTGTGCATGCGGACCAGGTCCGGGAACAGAATGTCCATCAGATTGCAGTAGGCAGCGCCAGTGCAGAGATCCTCGATCTTCTGCACATCGCTGTCCAGGGTGTCATTGATCCATGAGATAATCTCGTTGCGCGACCATTGC